AGGCCAACAACCCACGCGACGCCCGGTTCCTCGATGGTGGACACGCGGATGGCGATTCGGAGGATGAATCGATGGTTGTTGACCCTCCGAAGAAGACGGTCGGTCGACGAGCAAAGAAAGCCAAGAATCGCAGTGAGGAGATGGTGGTTGATTCTGGCGGCTCGGACGACGACGATGAAACCCGAGTGACGAACCTCGATTCTCCTTCTGCTCAACAGCAGCCTTCCTCGGCGGCGGCGTCACAGCGAACTACCCCGTTCGCGGTCTGCTCCCCGGAGGGTTCTCCCCAGACGTCTCCGTCATTGCCACCCGCGGTATCCCAAGACAAGTTTAGGCTGGCACCGACCGAGACTGGAGGCGTTAAGCCTAGCCCGGCTAAGAGGCGGATTAGGCTTTCCGGCGGCAAGTCGGCACGGCAGCGTTCCATGGAGGAAGATGGTGGTTCGCCTGAACGCATGGGCTCTCAGTACGCAGCGGCGGAGGATATACCGGATCGTCTCAAGGAGAAGAGGGAATCAGCCAGGCGACGGATCTCTTCGGGCAGCCGACTTCGATCCACGGCATCGCTTCAGCCAGAGTCGGTGCAGAACAGCGATGTGGACGAAGACATGCCGCCGATTCACGTGCCGCCCCCGACGCAGACGCAGACCCGCAAGCGCAACATGTTCAAGCTATCTCAGGGGAACTGGGCCAGGAAGACGGGAGCAAGCGTGCTGCCGGGCGAGGCGATTGAATCAATGGAAGGCACTGACAGACACACTGCTCAGGGGGATGTTGACATGGCGGCGTCTACACCGGTTGGGAAGCCGCGTGAGGCGAAGCGCCGACGCATGAACAGGGAAGTTGCAGAGTCACCAGCTTAGAAGGCTGCCGGGGCACTGCGGAGCAAGCAGCGCGGGCTGAAATTTTTAAAGCTACAGCTACGCAATAGACGTGAGGGAAAGTGAAGCATCGCATCGCCTAGGCGTAGCGGGGGATGAATGAGCGCAGCGAGTGCCGAGCCTTGCATGTTCAGTTAGGATGCTGCTACCTATGTAATCTTGGGCCACCCGGCGTTCGGCAGACGGTACGGAGGACGGGACCACCGGTTTTTCGGGGCACGACGGGGCCACGTGGGGACTCGGGCATGTCGTCATGGTATATTTGTTCTATGTACGGATACTCGGTATTGTATCGTAGCACAGTTTTGTACAACGAGTCGCTTGCGACTCTATTGAGAGGCTGCAGCTTATGTTTTCCTTTCTTTCTTTTTCGTCTTGTTTTTTTCTTCTAATTTTTTTTTTCTTTTTTTCCTTGGGCGGCATGAATAATAGTATCGTCACGAAAGAGTTTACGGCTCGCATGCATGTCATCTTTGGTGAACATTGATGAACGTTTACGTCACGGATCATGACTCGTTGAGCCGGTGGGCATAACGAGGGTCTGAGATTTTTTTAGTGTTTTTTATTTTCCCTCCCCTTCCTGCTGGAGGGTGTGTGTCGTCATAGGTTGCCGAGGACGAGTGACGCATCGGCCATTGGAAGGGGATTGGTGGTTTATCTCCGATGGCTGTCGCAAACACGGCCCGTTTTTTATCGGCCGCCGTAGGGCTGTTACGTGAAGAATTCTTGCGCCGTTCCACCGTCACACCGTGCCTCCCGTTTGTGAGAAAGAGCGAGGAAGCGCATAATGGCGGGGAGGGAGATGGGAGGCCCGGAGCTTCTGGCGCGGAAAGAATGGGGGATGATGGGTCTTTTTTAATTTTGCAGGACCCAGAAGAAGATGAGAAAGGCGTTGCACAATGAGGAGGGATAGAGAGCATGGGGAATAAATGCGGATGGGAGACACGCTAACGACACTCGTTGGACCCGGTGTTGTGGGAGAGTTGATCCAGGACCGACGTCATCCGCCGAGGTCTGAGAGGACCCCGTCGGTGTGCATAGGCCAGGCCATCCTGGGGAACAGGAGAGGAGGAGGAGGAGGAGGAGGAGGAGGAGGAAGACGTCAGATCATGGGGTTCGCGGGATCTGGTGCGGCGATGGCTTCGTTTTGCCCGTGGGGGCAGACGGAGCGACGGTCTGTGAGAGCGTGGCGTCACCGGACGGGGGACACGTGTAGGTAGATGCGCATCAGCGAACATGCATGGCATGGGGGGTGAGGTTCGGTGGCCGTTGTGCTAGAGGTGAGTTTATCCATTTACATACATTGTAGGTGTGTAGAGTGTGAGAGGCGTGTCTGATGCGCAAAGCGCGTAGTGGGGTTGGGAGAATGAAAATGGCCAAGAGAGAGACATAGAGAGGAGAGAGAGAGAGAAAACGACGGAAAGCACCCGATCAGTCCACCGGGGGCACGCACGCGCAAAAGCGGGCCGGAGGAATCTCGGTGGAGGGCCGCTCATCCGCTCGCGGCGTGGCCGTGGCCGCACTTCGGGCCCTTTGGGATGGGAAATAGGGGGACCCGGTCTTTCCAGGGGGGGGGGGGCGTACAGAGACACCTACTACCTACCTATATCCGTACGGATACAGGTGAGGCGAACATGCGGTGCCCGGACCCGCACTCGAGATGCACGGCCGAGAATTTGCGCGATGGGCTCAAGTCCAGGAATCGCATGCTGTTCCCCGCCCTGCGGTTTATTTGTGCTGCTCTCATCTTGGTCCCTGATCTGATGCATCATCGGCCGATGTTCAACAGTGGTGGTGATGACGGTTCCTGCTGGACGGAAGGGAGGGCCGTTTTGCCTCAGGGTTCGAACAAGCCACGAGTTGGCCAGCCACACACACACACACACACACTCCAGGCTGATGCGAGGCTTGTTTTAGGTCACAGCTCAAAACTGGTTCGAGGTAGGGGGGGTTCTCGATCTCGGCCAAATCCACCGCCAGGGAGATGACTATCGTCACCTTCATCATCTCGCAGGCCCCTTCTCCTCACGCGCACGCTGGAGGGAAGGGAGAGGGGAGAAGAAGAGAGAAGGGGAGGAAAAGGAACAAAACGAGTAAGAGCCGATGAAAAAATCTCGTCGTTTCTTCCGGCGCCCCCTTTTTTTCTTCTTCTTTTCTTCTCTCCTCCGCGGGCTCCTCCACGGGCTCCTCCCTATTCCCACTTCTCATTGACCTCTTTGTCAAGGTATGGTCGTCCTCGTGTCGGCGAGTTGCTCGTCTTGTCGGCCCTATTCTTCCTCTCCCCTCCTTCTCTCCGAGTCTCAGGGGAAAGTTGGCGATGGGTCCTGGTGGCCGAGTCTCGGTCTTTTTCTGGACTCGCATGAGGAGGGGAGGGGCCGGTGAGGCAGGCGCGGTCGGTGTCGCGAGTGCGTTGAAGTACCTTAGATGGGTGGAGGTCGCACGTTAATGCAATCATGTACGGATACTATCCCTACATAGTAGGCTGTTGGTACGTTGCCACCTTGTCATGAAGCTCGATGTTCGATGCTCGATAACTGCAACGACAAGGAAAGCTTGAACCTCAGTCGCCATGTTTTTCCGTGTTGCTTGGGCAGGTTTTCAGCCTCTTCTCTCTTTCCACCCCCTCCTGATCTGATGATATCAAGCCACACTTGTCTCCGGCTCGCTAGCTGGTTGGGTACGGCATGCGAGTGCCGGGCCGAAAAGGCAGGCAGGGGGGCAAGGGTCTGCTGCAGGGACAGGGGGAGTGGGATAACAAGAGGATACAACGTACGGATATTGGTGTATCTACCTAGGCAGATGGGTAGTGTACGCTACCTACTACCTACCTGAGTTTACACATGTCGGTAGGAAGTTCGCAAAGTATCCGCAAGATGGAAAACAAGACAATGATGCAGGGTAGGCAGTGGACAGGGGGGCTACTCTATGTTCGGACCTTGGCAATCTGGCCTAGGAATGCAGACGTTGGTTATTGCATGCATGCGTGCAGGATGAGTCTGACGACCTGATGTACATATAAACAGCGGCGTCGCCGTCGTTGTTGTCGCTGTCGTCGTTGTCGTCGCATAATGGGACGATGGGGGAAGTCGACCTGCATTCGAGAAGTGATGATGAAGCCATCGTGACGAGAAGAGAGGGACAGGATGGGCAGACGCCAGATACCTAGGTAGAGCAGACGGCCGAGGCGTAACGCCGAGCACCAGAACGAACGGGTGGTCGTACCTATGCCATGACACATCTGCTGCCATGGCACATCTGCCATGGCAGATAATACGGCATGGCATGCATGGCATGGACGGGCAGATGCCGACCGTGCGGTGGAGATGCGAGGCGGAATCATACTTGGGGGTCCCTTTGTTGATTCTTTCTCTCTAAAAGATTTTCCCCTTTCCGCCTTCCAATGCCTTCTCTCGCGTCGCCTGGCGCTTACAGCCGGATTGCCCCTCCGTCGGTTTGTTTCCGGACGCGACTGACTTTCCCATGCTGCACAATCACATCAATCCCGAAAGAATGGAAGAGGCACCGCGGCACAGGGAACCTGACTCTCTGCCGCAAGTGGTGGCATTCTTGAATTTGCATTTTGCCTTGTTATCGAACCAGCATTTCTTTCTTCTTTCCTAAAAAAAAAACCAAAAAAAAAAAACCACTGCTCTGCTCTTTGCAGACACCCCCAACCGGGGTGGGGGGCGGGTTCAGGGGTCGGGACGTTGGTAGAGCTGATAACCTGGATTTCAAACCTTGACGTCAGTCGGAGGCTTCGGGATCTCCACCATCCCATGCATGGACGGATGGCTCTACTGTACTAGGTATACGGACATGTACTGTAGGATCTGTAGGTAATCGTACGCCTACCTAGTACAAGTATGCTACTCCACGTGACCTACCTAGTTGGTGGTATCATTCACGCACCACCCAGATGGCATGACTAAGCTTAAGGACCCGACTTGGATGGCCACTTCACCCACCCGGGAGCCTCAACCCAAGTCCGGCCCCTCTTAGTGGCCGAGCATTGGACCGAAAAAAAGCATGATGGGTGTTCAACGTCAATCAACGCCCCCCCCCCGGTCCGGAGGCACTCGGTGCAATGTACCTTGATTACCCTGCGGCCCGGAAAAAAAGCTATGGCCAGACCCGCCGTGATGTCCTCCACCCGCCGCCCATCGTCTTCGCCGACGTCCAGAAGAAGGTTTCCTGTCCCTGAGAAGCACACATACACACACACACGCACACGTCGATCGACACGACCCAAACACATGTCACCGCCATCCCGCAATGGCGGAACCTCTTCCTATCCCACGCCCATGACCAATGGATCTGGGCCAGAACCAGCCCATCACCCACAATCTCTCTCCCCATCCGCAGGCGTCCCGCATACGAGCAAGCTTCGCCCGCACTTTTCCTGCGTCTCCCACGGGCCCCCGACTTTGTCCGTTTGATGATGTGTGGGTTGGCGTCGGGTCGGTCTTTGTGCGCGCGGGCTGTTCGATGGCGGGGCTTCTTCCCAATTTTTTCTGCTTGGTCAGAGACGTGTGAGTGATCACGAGGACATGGGGGAAAGAAGGGGAAAAAAGGGTAACCCGTTTTTTTCCCATCCATCTGACTGTCAAGTGTGGGAACATTACACTCGTTCACGCGCGGAGGCGAACGGGGATATACGGGGAAAAGAAAAGGAGACAGAGACGGGGTGAGGAACCCGTCAGGCACGTCTTTCCACTCTCAACCCACAATGGAAGTCGCCTAGAACTGGGTTGGCCTGCTTATTCCTTCCTTCCCTACAGATGGATACGGACACTTGCTCGATTTCCAACTACGGAAAGAGCGTCCCATCCGTTGCGTTGCCTGACTGATCTTGCCATTTCCACCCGCGTGACCTACCACGCGCATGCCCTTCGTGCCTTCTACGTCTTCAATACATAAAGAAAACTTCGTCTCCTTCCGTTTGCCCTCCTGCTCCTTCCTCCATCCCATCCCACATTATCCCACATTAATCAGGGTTTTAAACTCGACCACCCACCCCTATCCTTCCATCCTTCCATCCTTCCATCCTCCCTTCCTCCCTTCCTCCCTTCCTCACCTTCGACTTCCTCACCTTCGACTTCCATCTCTCTCCTCCTCCTCCCCCCCCTCCTCCTCCACCAAGGAAGAACAACAACTTTCAACTCTTAACGAAGCACATTTATCCATCTGCTGCTCACAGCATCCACCCTCCCCGGGACTGTCTCCCCCCAAAAAAACAACAGCAAAAGATACCCCCGTCAACAGCTGCCCAGCATGCGGTTCCCCAAGCCCGGAAGCAAGGGCGTCGAGCACCAGGACCGCCCTGATCCCGATGCCCACTCGGATTCCGCCTCCGTCGACCCCGTCACCGAGCAGAAGGTCACCTTCGCCGCCTGCTTCCTCGGTCTCGTTGCCAGTATCGGTGGTTTCATGTTCGGATATGTCAGGTATGTCTTACCCCCACGTTTGTTTGCCCGTCCGTCCCTTCCCGCTGCCTGCCTGTCTCCAAGCCGAGACCCGCGCGCCTGTCTCGGTCGCTCTCGCTTCGTTCCCAAATTCGACGTCCGTTTTGCTAACCTTCCGTCGCCTCCAGTGGTCAGATCTCCGGTTTCTTCCTTATGGAAGACTTTATGCAGCGCTTCGGTGAAGCCCAGGGCGACACGTACGTCTTCAGCGCCGCTCGCCAGGGTACCATCGTCGGCCTTCTCTGCATCGGCTGCCTCGTTGGCGCTCTTACCGCTGGTAAGCTTGCCGACACTCTCGGCCGTCGCCTGACCATCTCGCTCTTCGCTTTCTTCTCTTGCATCGGTATCGTCATCGAGATCTCCTCCACCGACAAGTGGTACCAGTTCGCCATCGGCCGCCTCGTTAACGGTGTCGGTATCGGTGCCCTCTCCGTCGTCGTCCCCATGTACCAGTCCGAGTCTACCCCCGCCATCGTTCGCGGTGTCATTATCTCGACCTACCAGCTCTTCATCACCCTCGGTATCTGGCTCGCCGAGCTTGTCAACTATGCCACCCACGACAAGGTCGGCTCTGCTTCCTGGCGCATCCCCAACGGCCTCGGCTTCGCCTGGGCCCTTATTCTCGGGGGCGGAATCCTCTTCTTGCCCGAGTCCCCTCGTTTCGCCTTCCGCCAAGGTCGCGAGGACGAGGCCCGCCGCAACATCGCCAAGCTTGCCGGCGTCGAGCCCAACGCCAGATCCGTCAACGCTCAGATCGACGACATTCGCGCCAAGGTGGCCGAGGAGAGCGCTGGTGCCGACACCAGCATCTGGGAAATCTTCACCGGCCCCCGCATGCTTTACCGCACCCTTCTCGGAGTTGTCCTGCAGGCCGGCCAGCAGCTGACCGGCGCCAACTTCTTCTTCTACTTCGGCACCACCGTCTTCTCCGCCACCGGCCTCAGCAACAGCTACGTCACCCAGCTCATTCTCGGCTCCGTCAACGTTGCCTGCACTTTCGGTGGCTTGGTCGTCGTCAAGAAGTCTGGCCGTCGCATCGCCCTCATTGTCGGTGCCCTGTGGATGATGATGTGCTTCTTCGTCTACGCCTTTGTCGGCCACTTCGCCCTCGACAAGTCCCACCCCGAGAACTCCCCCGTTGCCGGAGCCGTTCTCGTCGCCTTCTCCTGCTTGTTCATCGCCGGCTTCGCCACAACCTGGGGTCCCCTCGTCTGGGCTGTTGTCGCCGAGCTGTACCCTGCCCGCTACCGCGCTCCCGCCATGGCTCTCGCCACCGCCTCCAACTGGCTCTGGAACTTGTATGTCGCACCACTCCCTCCTCTTGTCACCGTATTTTCCTCTAACACGTCCCAGCCTCATGTCCTTCTTCACTCGCTACATCACCGATGCCATCGACTACCTCTACGGCCTCGTCTTCGCCGGATGCTGTGCTGCCCTCGCCGTCATCGTCTTCTTCTTCGTCATCGAGTCCAAGGACCGCACCCTCGAGGAGATCGACACCATGTACGTTCAGCACGTCAACCCCATCACCTCGGCAAAGTGGCGCGGCGAGTCCCGCAAGGCCCACGAGTCGGGCAGCGAGGCCGAGAAGGCTGAAAACACCGTCTAAGCGCCTCGCCCATCTGGATACAACTTCTTCGAACCCTGTCGCATCATTCAGCAGACATCACATTCAGCATGCGTAAACCGCATGCACCCACCAATGGCCCCTTGGGCCAAGACTTGTATCATACAACCTTCATTGCGATGGCGTTGGGCGGCATTCTGTATTCTTAAGAAAAGAGTTGTTTATGAGGAATGAGAATTAATTAATCGATTAACAAATGAACTTTTACTGAAGACTGCTTATGATCCGAAACGTGAAGTTGGCTGTGAACTTCTGTGCTGATTGCATGTCTTTGCATATTATAGTGTTACTGTATGTCTACCTCGCGCCTGAACAGCACCATGGCGCGGTATCAAGGAACAGAGCACTTTCAACGTTTATGCCATCCCATCCTCAGCATCGAGACAATGGCTTTGTACGCCGGCTTCTGCTTGTAGTCCTCGTCGAACAAGAGCGGCTGGTTTTCGCCCTTCCAAGAATCCTATCATCAAGCACGGGTCAGAAGGTCAGTTTTCTCTTTCTTTTTTTCTTTTCTTTGTCCTAGTCTCGCACGATGGAGGTGACAAAATGACTGAAGAATCAACCAGAAGAGGAAGGGGGGGTATCTTCTCTCACCTTGTCGCTGATGCCCCAGACCGTGATGCCCACGCACTTGGGGACGTTGAGGCACGCGGCCACGACGGTGGCGTAGTCGTCGGGCGGGGCGGTGTCGATGTCGAGCTCGGTGATGGCGACCTCGGAGACGCCGCTGGACGCGAGCATCTCCAGCGCGCCCTCGATTTCCCCAGCCATGCCCGGCACCAGGTGCGTCTGAGAACCTGTATATCCCAAAACATGGTTCATTAGCCAACTCGTCTGTCCCGAATTGGGAGGCCAGGCCATAGAGCCCCTCCCCACTCTCCCTCTCTTTCCCTCCCCAACCTTACCTATGCCGTCGATGGGAATGCCCTCGCCGATCCACTGGTTGACCTTGTTGACCACGGCCGTCACCTTGTCCCACCACGCCACGTCGAGGTTGTACTCGTTGATGTAGAGCATTGCGCCGGGGTCTGCGGCCCTCGCCGCGCGGAAGGCGATGCCGATGTATTCCTCTCCCAGCACGTCCGAGAACACGTTGCTCCGGAGGGTGCCGTCGTCGTTAAAGGGCTCGTTGACGACGTCCTGTTTTTCATGGTGTTGGCCGGGAAAGAAATGTGGAGGGGGGGGGGGGGTTCAAAGTAAAACCAATCATCCTCGCCACCGACGGGGTGTAACAACTAACCCAGGATCGGACTTTGCCCTTGAAATATCCCACCACGGTCGTGATGTGCGTCTCGATGACCTCGGTGAGGGTCTCCGCGTCCGTGATCTCGGCCACCCAGTCGGGCACCGTGCGGTACCACAGGAGCGTGTGGCCGCGGACCACCTTGTCGCCGTTGCCGCGGGCCCAGTCGACGAGGTAGTCGGCGTTGTCAAAGTTGAAGACGCCGGGGACGGGCTGGGTCTCGTTCCACTTCATCGAGTACTCGGGCGTCACCTGGCCAAAGTTCCTGCCGATGATCTCGGCCGTGCGGCCCTTCTGGAGGATGCCGTTGTCGGTCGAGGCCCCGAAGTAGAGCTTGCCGTACTTCTGGAAGAGACTGTCGACGCTGCTCGTCGGGCGGTTCCCGGGCACGTCGTAGTAGTAGGAGGATGGGTCTTCGGCCGGGAGGGCGAGGACGGCCAGCGGCGCCAGGACGGCGGGGAGTGAGAACTTCATTGTGAGGGGGCTAGAGCGAGCATGCCGAGACGAGAGGAAGGAAGGCGGGGGAGGGATTCGAAAGGGACGCCGGAATGCGTTTTTATGTACACATGTGCGTTCGTCTTGCGGACTAACGACTGTTGTCCATGACTGCTTTTCATTGAGACAAGAAGCTGGAGGCCTCGAAGGGAGGGGGGAGGGGCATTCAGCTCCCTACTTCAGCTCTTGGCAAATGCTGGCGGGCTCGCCATAAACACGGCTTCATCTCTCCAAACACCCAGGGGAAAGAAAGAGGAGGGAAAGCGCCGGCTTTGCGCTGCCGGTGACGGCGAACACGGGTGTTTCGGTTCGTCGGATTGGGGCTAGACGTGAATTTGGGACGTGGGCTCCCCCAACCCATTTGCCGCGGGCATGCAGCAATCTTTAACCGCAGCCATTCGAGCCCGCCGATCACTCGCTCCAGCCGGGTCTATTTATGGTAGTCAACATTCTTTCGGCGACCCTGTCTCAGGAATCGTAAATCTGTTCAAAAACAAACCGCGGCCGCCGCCACAAGGGATGGCGTTCCAGGGAGCCCACGCGGTCCGAGTGGTGGGAATCCCGGATCGGATATTCCTTGCTTATGAGGTCGCAGAATTCCTTCATCCGAGACCAACAATGCAGTTGATATCCAGCCCCTCGGTGTTGCCTTCATCGTTGCGCGGAGCTCGGCTCTGTCGTCACGGAGTGGCGGCCGGATCTGCTGCCCCGCACACCGCTGGCCCGGAGTGACTTCTTCACGCCCCCCAGGCCCCCCCGTTCTTCGGAGCTTCTCGGACGAAAATAATCAGCAACATGATCCAGATAGGGGATGCGACAAATTCCATTGATTTTCCTGCCGTACCCCAAGGGCCTTTTCACCTGTGTGCGAGTAAATATAGGTACCTAGGAGAGCGTTGATTCATATTCAGATGAGGCGTTTATTTGAATGATATCGATTCTGTCACCTGTGGCTCATTCATCACCTTTTTTAAGCCGCAGCTGACAATGGCCTTTTTTTTGAGAATCGACACAAATACCCTACCCCCGTGATGGACCTTGCAAAGAAATTCCTCGCAATGCAACCCCCTCAAAATGGGCTGGGCTGACCTGCGTCTCCTGGGCCTTCGCAGCGGCTTGCGAGAAGAACTTAGTGTCGTGAACTGTGGGAAAGATTCAGCTATGCATCGAGTAAGGCCACGATGCCACTCAAGGTCAGCTCTGACCTGGATCATATCATTACATCATTGGTATCAAGAATCATGAATCCCCTTCCCCCCCCCAAATCTCTCCGTCTGTGCGTTCAACTCGTTATCTCCCCTTGCTTCCGTCAATCACTTCTCCGAGTCCTTCCTGACTCTGCGGAAAAGCTTTCCGAAGAACTTCTTCCTGCTGCCCTCGGTAGTAGGCTTCCCGTTGACTCCGCCCTTATCGATTTTCTCCCTGGCCGACGCGGGAGCGGGTGCGGCGTTCTCTAAGAGGAAGGTTTTCAGGCCGATCGCCTCGTCGCTGCCATTGTCCTCACTGGAGTCCGTCAATCTCCGCTGCCTGAGCTCGTTCATGGATGCTACCTTGCCTAATAGACGGGATGGGGAAGGCGTGGGTGTGGACGGGGTGACAGGCGCGCCTCTCTGGGGACTCGCGGTCGACTCTGGGGGGCAGTGCTTGCCTGGTATTGTGAGAGCATCTAGAAGTGTGGGTTGTCAGCTTTCTTGATCGTCGTCTGCGGAATCAGTACTCACTCTGGCGCGGAGACATGGTTGTCATAGAGGCTGCAGGGCGAACAGTGCGCTTCGGAATCGAGAAGTCGGAAATGGTGACGTCTCCGTCGGTCCAGATGACTCTTGGCGGCGGGTAGGGGTCATAGAAGTCGGTCGTGGACACAGTGGCAGGAGGCGCCGGCGCTTGAGTGACGGCTACAGCAGGAGTGATGATTGACGTGCGAGAAGCGGCGGAAGCACGAGAGGAAGACGGTCCAGAGACGTAGTCAGGCTCAACGGGCTTGCGAAGGGGAGCATCCAACTGGGCTTTCTTCTTCTGGGGAACAGGAGGCAGCGGTTTATTGGGCGGCGGATAGATGGGCGGCGACCACGGGACCGGCTTGGGCAAACGCAGCGGTCGGGGCAAACGACGCGTGGGCGTACCGATGTCGTCTTTCTTTTCGGCAGCTTTCGATTGCGCGGCGAGGGCGGCGGTTCGGGGCGACAGCACCCCCTCCATCTCGCGATCGACTTCAGCACTAACATCCGTGATGAGGGTCGAAGCTGAACGGACGACAGTGTCTGTGCTGGCGCCCGAGCTGGTGCGATCGCCGGCAGGCGTTGTACTTGCCGGACTCGGAGACTTCATCTCGCTGATTTTCAGCGGCTTCGGGTAGCAGTGAGAGACCGGGATGTAGGGAAGATCGTTGACAGGTCTGCGCCTACGGACCTGGAGAGACGGAAGATTTGTGTTGAGAGACTCGATTGCTTTGGTGACGGCGTCGTTCTGCGGCGAGTTTGGTCGCTTGGGTAGACGATGCTGGCGAGAGAGGCCAGTAGAATTGACAGAAGGCGAAGTGTTCGAGAGAAGAATGCCCCGGGATGGTGACGGGCTCCCGACGGTTGAATCTTTGGCTGGCTGTCGAGAGATGTTGTTCTTTTGATGAAGAGGATTTGAAGGCGCCCTGGGTAAAGGCCTCATGAGGCGAGAGCTACGCACATGTTTCCTGGTGGTGGAGCGTCCAGGCTGTGAGGTGGGAGCAGAGACTAAGGGTAGGGAACCACGAGAGGTGGATGTCGAAATGGAGGTGCGCGACTGGGAGCCATTGCTTGTATGCGAGTCGATAGAGTGGCGGTTGTGCTGGTCCGCAATAGAGTCATTGACCGGAGTTGACGCCGTACTGACAAAACTGGAAGGTGCTTGAGATTGGCGGCCGTTGCCATTGTCATGAAGTTGCTCACTTGAAGCGTAACTGTAAGCAGACAGGGTGTTGGGGATGTATGCAAGCGGTGGAAGAGCAGGTGAAGGGCGCAAGGTTTCCGCCTTTGAAAGAGGGACATCAGAAGAAAGGTTCTCCTGTTGAGGCGGGGCCAGGCCCTCTTGTCCATCCTCATCGGCAGCGCACGCCTGCAACATGAAGCCAAAGGGCGTATGGCAATGCCCAGCCACAGGATGGTGGACAACGGTGATGACACTGTCTTGTGAGTAAACTGAGGAGGTGTCTGAGAAGTCAGCTCCGTCATGAGTTTCCGAAGTCGCCTTGTCAGTCAGCTGTTGGGTTTTAGCATCGTCCAATGTATTGTAAGTGCCTGACATCTGTGTAACATGAGGAGGTGCAAAGGTTTGGGTCTGTGCTGACGCAGGAGAGCTGGTGAGGGGAGAGACTGGCGCAGGAGGCAAGTCATTGCATTCACTGTTGCAGGGAGAGATGTTGTCCTCGTCTCTTCCGACTGCGAAGTTGGGTGCGTTAGGACCAATGATGGTGCGGCAAGAAAGTGTAGAGTCAGGCCGGGACAAATGAAGTTCTGCCGGACACTGTGAGACCCTCACATCTGTGGTTTCTTCAGAGGGCACCCAAAAGGTTTGATGCGCTTCCCGCTTGGTTGCAAGAGTAGGCATTGCACTGACATTTTGTCGTAACAACGCAGCTGAAGAGCAGCGTTGTAATACAGTATTCTTAGGACTGTTGGCTGGGTGGTTGTTGCCTCGAGACAGTTGTTTAGATACACGAGAATTAGCAAGGGTAGCAGTGACAGTGCTTGTAGGAGGTGTTGCACTAGCAGCCCTTTCACTAGCCGTGAGATAACTCTGTCTCGGAAGCGATTCGTCGTGGAAAGAATATGGCGGATCAGACTGATAAGGAAGAGGCTTTGTGCACTTACTCTCACTGCCTATGTGAACAGCGACAAAGAGGCCGTTGTTCTGGCTGGGGATAGAAGCCGCTGGGTCTTCGAGCAGCGTCTCGGTTGACTGCAATAGGTCATGGGCCTCGGTTGCTGCAGGTTGATCAAGGGTGAAGCTGTCAATTGACAAACCGCGCCTATGGGTTGGGGTCGTAGGAGAATGAGAGTTGCGAAGGAAGCCAGCTGGCAAAAGGGGAGACGACGGAGTGAGTTTCAAGGGAAGAGGCGCAAGCAAGCAAGTCTTTGAGTTACTTCCATTGGCAGCTGATGCCGATTTTAAAAAGTCGGACTTCTTCCAGTCCTTGCCATTGTCTGGCAAAAAGCCTCTCTGGATACCTTTGGGAATGTGTGGAAGCAAGAGGAACTCTTTGTATTCCGCTGTCCAGGTCCAGACCAAAGCCGGCTTGGACATGGCGCACTCTACTCCCTCTTTGTCTGCCCTTGCCTTGGCAATGAGATACTGGCGAGCATATTCCATGGGAGACAAGCGTGGTGAAGCCAGCCGAAATTTTGGAGGCGCTTCGTTTCTGCCCGAGTAGACGGAGGGATGCTGGGGCTGGAGTAGATAGACGGGGAGGTTCGACGACATGGATGAGGAGATCAAGTTCGAAGGGCTGCGCACAGGCACGCCGTAGGGTGAGCTTCTCTCGCCGTTGGCTGCCCCCCCACGTTGGATCATGACCTGGCTGAAATCCGCGCCTACACGTCTCATCTCTTCAGGGACAACAGGGTCAGATATTTGAGACTTATCGATGCCCGTGCTTCGCTTGGCTCGCAGCTTGGTCGCGCTGGGGACGGATCGAAGAGGTGTCTTGGGACGAAGAGAGCTGCTGGATCTCGTGGGACGAAGGAGTGCTCCGGGGGCATATTCTGTCGGCGTCGCAGGTGGCAAACCGAACTGGTCAAGCAACTCCTTGAGTGTAGGGAGCTCAGGCACTTCCTTCTCGACCTCGGAGGCAGCAACATAGTTGGCAAAGGACTTGACCTTGTGGAGGATGTTGGATGGTGTTCGCGGCCGCTCGGATGGTGTGTGAGGCTTTGAGGGCGTCTTTGCGTCCTTGGCGATGCCGAAAGCCTTGTTCTTATCCGCCTCTTGTTCATCTTCCGGGTCGCTGTCCCACGTGTATGTTGGGGCTCCGTTATCAATTTTAGCGGGCAGGATGAGGCCGTAGAGAGCAAGTTGATGTTTCTCCCAACCCTTTTCCAGCTCAATATGCTGGACCAGAGGGTGCTCGTGGAACTTGGTCCTTGACAGATCGTCTGAGCATTCCAAGACAGGCGGCTCGTCAAAGTCGCATGTCAGTATGCGACCGTCAGACTTTGCTCCAGATATCTCGCGACCAGGGCATCCCGCAAGCAGAGGGGTTGGGAGAGGCGGCAGAGGCGCGCTTTCGACGGTAGCCGTTGGAGAAGGAGTCTCATCAGTCGGTCGAGAGACGTCGATGGGCGTTGGTCGAGGATGGGATCGTCGTAGAATGCCCGAGAAGGGTGTAGACCGACCTGATTCGCTTGATTCTTTGCTTGAAGTCCGGAACCGTGAACGAACGGTAGAGGGCACTCGATGAACTTGGTTTGGGGTCTGTGGAGGTGTGTTGTCAGAGTGCGTTTGGCGGGACACAGGTCGAGAACCCTTTCCACTGTTGGTCTTTGGCCTGAAAGCCATCTTGGATTTTTTTTTTCTGGGAGCGAGCTTCCAATAACAAAAGATGAAAGGTAAGGGGTTTGGTGAGTAGACTGAAATGCTATGGTGAGGTGGAGCAGATATCTGAAGTGAAGCAACAATCCAAGGCAAGATGGGACCAAGCAATTTTTCCAAGAACAGCGGATGAAACGCTGGAGGATTGTAAGCATATGAGAGAACTGATAAAGTTAGTATTAAAAATTAAACCTGCGGGTGTTGTATAGTACCTCAAGACTCAGAGAACCGAGTCGATGAATACTCGATCTTGCTAGGAGTAAGGATGATTGAGTAATGAAATCCAAGGGGCCGAACCGCCAAAGTAACGTCAAGACGGATAGTCCTTTGACGTGAGGGTGACTTGAAGGGAGAAAGAAAATCAACTGACTATGTGGTGGGAAGGTGTGTTGGGTCGAGCAGCTGGGAAGGAACAACAATGAGGCTGTTGCACGTGACGTGATGTGACTCTTGGTGATGTTCGGTAACGTGAGCTGAGAGTGCAGGAAGCCACAGATCCAGGCATTGGGAGTACTAAACAAGAGATAACTAAGAAAAGCAATTGATTGGAAGGAGGGCAGCCACTTGACACACCTGGAAGGGGATTCCATATACGGTTATGTATCGACACTGGGGGCATTCGAGTTGTTGCGCTGGTATCCAAATCAGCACATATTGACCCAACACCTTTAGCCATGTTTGACGACGACACATAGTATGATGTGCTCCAACACTATTCATACGAGATAGAAGGGGAATGGAGCCTAAAACCTGCCATTCTCATCCTAGCATCAGGCCAATGGCGTTCACATTAAGAGTGGCAATGAGGTCTTGTTATATCGAGAGGCTTGAACTGGTGGAAGAGAAACATTAGGTATGATTGGGAAGCTCTCTACATTGTCACGGGTTGGAAATAATTATGGCAATATCTGATCATATATCAAAGACATTTACGATTGATACGAATGGTAGGAATCGGGGCCCTCATGTGGCTCGAGACGTGCGTTGACCCAAAGACACGGACACACAAGGAGCGATTCAATAAGAGAATTTAGAGCTTGAGAAGCCAGGGGCCGGTGTCATCGTCAGTTAGTTGAGCATGCCAGATTTGTCAGTGGAGAAACAGTATTGATGTTGATTGTAGGTCCATCGCAGAGCCCAACCAAGCAACGAACGGCAGTTGGCTTGTGTGAGTGTCGAACGGTCGTGAGTGTCGAACGGTCGTGAGGTCCAAGACATATGGTAGGGGGCAAGAAAGGGTTGAATAGTATCATTCCAGGTAGCATGGCACTGCAGAGCCGAGTCCTATGCGGAGGGGCGGATTGGGTTGAAGCCATCGCGGGGTTATCATCGCAAGTCGTTGTCAGCGTTTATCGGTCGTCGGGCGTGACACGGACCCGCAACAACCTGAAGCTGGAACTTCGTGTGCGGGGTGGGGTGTCCCAACGTACCTACCGTACTACGCGCAAGTCATTAACCAATGGACGCGACACCAGCCACATGGAATTCCCCCTCGATGGGAGGCTAGTGTATATAGTAGGTAGGTGCTATAGGTAGGGGCTTACGCCACAAGCCAGCCGAGATGCGCTCATTGAGCTCAGCCAGATAGACAGGGGCACTGCCAAGGAATTTAAAATACCTACGGATACTTTTGCTGGCAGGTACTACGTAGGTGTTCCCAATCCGTTCTTTCCTTTGGTGCTGTAGTGAGTGGGTGGCCTCTGCTCCTGCCTCCAAAGTCGGACACCGACGACGTTTGGTTCATTGTCTTGCGTGTGTTCTTTCCTTACTTGACTCAATTCAATTCCTGTTTTGGGCTGTGGCCCGTTCCTACCTTGATCAAAAAGTCTCGCACTCGGCTTGCTTTTGTCTCCTTCTCTTCTCTCACTCTCGTTCCCCAGCCAAACAAAGTCAAAATACGGATACCTTTTTAACATTACCAGCCGCCTTCCCGAGCTCTCGCTTCGCTTCGCCTCGCGTCTGCCTGCCACCCCTTCCCATCCTTCTTCGAACACTCACGAGCCCGCAGCAGGCCCTGCAGATGCTCATTGCTCATCAACCATGGCATTGCTGACCAAGGGTGGTCGGCTCATGCTGCCGCGACCCTCCCCAACGACGTCGACCCGGTGGATCGGAACGCATGACCGCCGTGGTCCTTGGCCGCTGCTGTCAGCAACGGCAAACACGGCATCGACACCCTCAGCGCGGCCATCGTCGCTGGCCTGGACGCCCGCCCTTCGCTTCTCCACACATCCGTCAAGGCGGTCCGGTATGTTCGGTTGCGCATGTCTTTCCTTCTCAATTGATCCCCAATGCCCTCGACCCATCCGATTGGTGCGCTGTTTCCCCACGCCTTGCCTAGTTCCCCGTCAGGTTGCATGAACCAGACCCGACACGTGCGGCACCGCGAGGCTGGGCGTGAGATTCTCGCGCTTTGCAGATGCTGCCGACAGGGATCTGTGGTGCCAATGAACCCGGAACTGCAGGCCAACGTGCAGCTTGTCAGCTTGCGCAGAGCCGTGTCTTGAGGGCTGGAGTACCTGAAGCTGTGATTGATGCTGCTGGGCCACATCAACGACGAGCATGATGTTGAAGCGCCCCGGAATAAGGCCTTCATGTTGACCCCTCGGCAAGAATCGGCATATTGCGAGAGCTGCGCATAAGCCATGCTCTCCTCTCGGCATGCTAGGCCACCCGCCACCTGGCATGGCAGGGTGAAGCCATTGCAAGTCTTGGAATGAACCTGGCTGAACTGGGACCCATCGCGACTCAGGCATGATGTTGGGCGCACTCGGCCCTCGTGTCCTGGTCAGCTCATAACCCTCTTACGGGACGTTTCTTCACCAGACGACATCATCGCGAGGGCCTCGGGTCCCTCCATGCATGCAAAATATCTCATCTACCTCCAACTCTGTTCATCTCATCACCATATTCAAACATCGTGAACGTGAACGTGGCTGACCCCCTCCTGCAGACCGAGGACAGTCTAGCTCCGGACCGGAGCCCGCTCCCAGATTCCAAGATGCTGGCGACAGCCTCCCCAAGAAGATGCTCGAGTCCGCAGCGACTTCCTTCGCCTCGATAGTCGTCCTCGCCGCCGGCTTCGCAATAGCAGGCTACGCCTACCACAAGACGTACAAGCGCATCGTCCTGAAGAAGATGACGCGCGCCTTCACCCCCGGTGACCCCGTCCTCGAGCTCGCCGCCATCGGCAAGGAGGTGCCGCAGACGTCCGCCGAGGCTGACGACCGCTGGGTGCAGCGGCCGGAGCAGTCGCGTATCGACAGGATCGTAGACGGTTCCGAGGTCGGCCATTACTTTTTGATCCTGGGCGAGAAGGGCACGGGCAAGAGCAGCATGCTGATCGAGGCCATGCGCAAGATTGACGGCGACGGCGTCGCCATGTTCGAGGCCCACGCAGACCTGGAGATTGTGCGCATCCGTCTCGGCAAGGCCCTCGACTTCGAGTTCCATGAGGACTACATCGGCGGCTACTTCAGCGAGCGCGGACCCCGCGACACCACGGCCCTACTCGACATCGAACGCGCCCTCAACAAGCTCGAGAAGGTGGCCATTGTCAACCGCGCCACGCGCAAGAAGCCGCTGGTGGTCATCATCAACCAGATGCACCTGATCCGCGACGACGACGACGGCAAGGACCTCATCGAGCTTCTCCAGCAGCGCGCCGAGCAGTGGGCGGCCTCGAACCTCGTGACCATGGTCTTCAACACGGACGACTACTGGGTGTACGAGCGGTTCAAGCAGCTAGCCACGAGGATGGAGGTCATGTCGGTACGCGACCTGCCCAAGCGTCAGGCCATCGCGGCGCTCGCCAAGTACCGCGTCAAGTACTTCAACGAGAAGCCGAGCCAGACGAAGCTGGAGGAGGTGTACGACCTCGTCGGCGGCAGGCTGTCGTTCCTGAACCGCGCCGCCAAGAGTCGTGATATGATTGCTACGTGCAAGGCCATCTGCCAAGTCGAGAAGACGTGGTTCCTCAACCAGTGCTGGATCCTCGGGTCCGAGATGGACGACGACGTGATGGACCAGCAGAAGTGGGCGGTATGTGTGACTCCTGAACCCAACCCGATACCCCTTCCGCAGGCGGTCCTCAAGTAGGCGTCGCAATCGTGGGAGCGGGAATGCCAACTAACAACCGTCAGGCTGCCGCCATGGTTCTCGCGCAGGCGCTCGTAGACAGCGAAGAGGACATGGAGCTCTGGGACGAAGTCAAGGGCCACGTGCTGCCCTCGTTCCCGATGCACAAGGCGCAGGAGATCATGACGCGGGCCGACTTCATCCGCAACATGGACCGGCTCAACCTCTTCACGATTTCCGCCGACGCCGAGGTGCGCGCCTCGTCGGTGCCCATGCACCGCGCCTTTCAGGAGATTTGTGCCGAGAAGGGCTTCAGGGAGCACCTGGAGAAGACGATCCAGCGTATCGCCGACATCGAGTCGCTCGGCCGCACGCGCGAGTTGGTGGCCAAGGATCTCGTCCTGGGCGGCAAGTACGAGATCCTCCGCGAGGGCAGGAACGGGGTTACGGTCAAGCTTGTCGGGGATGAGGACGATGACTAGGGGAGGCACACCAGTACTACTGCTACGACGTCCAAGACCCGGTTGCATGTATGAGGGGACAATGACGGTATCCTCGCGTCTCGCTTCTTGCATAGTGCTTGACCCAACGCCGAATTGGGCCCGGGGCTTTGTCGGTGAGAGAGAAGCTGAGGCGGAGGATGGGGGTGGGAACCCTCCCTCCACGATGAGATAAGGGACATGCAAGATCAGATTCGGAGTGGGGGATCACCCTTCCCGTTTCCCTATTTTTTCTTTCTTTTTTCCCCCTTCGATGATACGCTTGGTTTCATTTAGCTTGGCCACTGCTGCTGAGAACCAGGGGGGGGGGACACCATGAAGATGGGGCATAGCCACTGCGTGGATATGTCTACCTATTGGCGGCTGACCTGGAGCTGCTCACATGACACGAGGCAGGATCAAAGCTTGGAGAAGAAGGAGGCATTAGGCGAAGATGGGATGACGTGTGCTTGACAGATACATGTCGACCACCATGGCTGTACGATTGTAAGGATTGCGCTGCTCTTTTTAATAAGTGTTATAAACTGCGTGGCTGAGGGGGAGAGCGATTGCGAGCTGGGATACCTACTCCGTTTCGCCTCACTTTCTGGGTCTCAAAAGTGTAAAGATAGAAAACGGGGTGGAGAGAGGAGAGAGGATCTCTGAGAGTAGAAGGGGGGGGGGGGGGGGGGGGCTGCTGCCAGCTTCAGGTGATGTTACCCTCCATCCTTGATGTACGATCGATCGATAATTCCCAGCAAATCAAAGCTTGTTTCCCTTGTAACCGTTCGTTTTCCGAGTGTCATCAGGTGCCTGCCATCTCGCGCCAGACGGCGTGATTTCCCGCCCTGTCCCTTGTCGAGGTTGATATCGCACTCGGTTATTGGTATAGGCACGAGCATCCATAGCATAGTACATTGTACTCCGTATATCCGTACATCTATCTGGCGAGGGCCGTTTCCTTTGTTGCGTCTTTTACGGAGTACGGATACTTGGTCTTTTTATTTGTTGCGTCGCCGCCGCCCACATCCTCCACCGCTGCCCATCCATCCGCGTCTCTCTATTCGTGCCGCCGCCCCCAGTCTGCTACCGACCTTCCCGAACCCGCAGGGAAGCGCCGAGTCCCCCCTCTCTCCCCCCCATTCCGGCCGATTTCCGCAGTAGATCGATCCCCCGTTAATGCCATCTTCCTTTTTTTTTTCTTTTTCTTTTCTTCTTCTTTCTTTCTTTTTTTCTGCTTCGGTGACATCTTTGGCAGGGGCCGACCCTGAGACGACATGAAGAGCTAATGCGCCCCGCATTTTCTCTCTCTCTCTCTTTCTCTCTCTTGCCCACTCGTCTCATTTCATATCCCTTCGTCGTCAGCGCAGTCGTCGTCTCCAGCATCTACACGTGTAAGTTGTGGAGGCAAGAAAAAGAGAGAGAGAAAAAAAGCACAACATTCACCTGCCGCTCACACCGCTGCGGGAACTCAAGGAGGGGCCCAAAAAACGCAATGTACAACACCATCAACGCCCCTCCCCCCCTCGTTCTCCGTGCACGGATGATGGCGACAGTCTGCGAGGCAGGGATACATCGTGTCCGTTCCCATGCGACCGACACACAGACAAGAACGCGCACGCCGCCAGATGGTCTGTAGACGATCAGAGATTTGGGGGGGGGGGGGGGGGGGGGCACTCGCCAAGCCCGTTCCATCGGGTTACACTTCCTGCATACGTGCACCAGTGCTGCGCCGAGGCCGACGAGACACAGGCGGGCCAGGCATACAAGTAAATATACAGTACACACGCCAAGGGGGGGGCCGTCCAGCTAGGTAGTTCAGTCAACCTGCTGCAGCATACTACGTAGTATGTAGATAGTCCGTAGGTAGTTAAACTACGCTGTAACATAGAGGCAGAACGCTCGTGCATGGCCGCCCCCATCGCAGTCGTATGGCCGAAATAGTGACAGGGGAGGGGCCATCCTGTCTTTCGGCCAAAATGGTTCTGAAGAGGGGTCCGCTGCGGACCCTCCCTCCTTTTACAGTCCAAGTTTGGACTCCTCTCGCTAAACAGTAGATAGATGATCGGGTTGTCCCCATCTCCCTGCAGAATCTCCCCAGTGGTCCGAACCCACAGTTGATCCCCCTCCCCCCTCATCCCCGAAGCGAAGCCATCGGCAAAGAAGTACCCGATGTACCGCTTTGTATCCCTCCCCTCCCTCCCTCTCTCTCTCTCTCCTCTCTCACGGCGCCGCTGCATGTACGCCAAAGCCAAAAATGCAACGCAAAGTGGTGTTTGAAAAAAGGAAGAAGGGAGAGAGAGCGCGGGCGACAAATACAGCCTCTCATGGCGGCCTAAGGCAGATAGATAGGGATCTTCGCTGCACCTGTCGTCGCTTTCGTCCAGCCGTACAGTACGTGGGATGTGACAGCTCGTGATGACCAACCAAAGTCGTACGAAGGGGGGGGGGTATATCCGGTGCATGGCAGCGGGTTTGCTCAGCGAGAGAGATACTTCCCACCCCCCTCCTCCCCAGCGAAAGAGTACATGGTAAGAATTTCCCAGAGCAAGCTTACCCAAGTCAACCACTATCCGTACTCTGACGACGTTGCCGGTTTGCAGCGATGTTCCCAAACAGTCGCCGCAACCCCCTCCTCTCCCTCGGACGAACTTATGCTTCGTGCAGCGGCTGGAAACGTACGCGGACGGGTTCGACGGATGAACGGGCTCGCTCACCCAGCCTCCTGAAAGGTTATCCGTACGCTCGAGTGCGAGCCGATCAAAATATAAAGCAGCCTATATGTAATATATCGCAGCGTGAGGAGAGAGGCGCAACCAGCGCGGCATGTATTGTGTTGCGACCATACCTCTCGAACCAAAATAATTGTCTGCCGGAAATGACAAGACTTTCTAAGATACATCCTATGCTTTCCCCGTGATCATGCCCCCCCCCCCCCCCCTTCCCCCTTCCCTCTCCCCGAGATCTTCTCGCTGGGAAAGCAGATCAGATCATGCCCAGGTTTGCTAGTAATCAAATCGGACGCTGTCCAAGGCCTCCCAATCCCGAGACGTCCCGTTCCCTGTCTGCCCCAATTACCCGAAAAAGCATGGACGAGCCACGCGCAAAAACCCAACCCGCCCGAGTAAAGCAAGAAACGCCGCAAATATGAGTATCGAGTTGCATAGAGAAAAAGAAAGAAAGTAAAATAAAGGGGTGGGGGGTTGAAAAAAACAAAGACAACAAGACCACCTGCACATCCCTCTCAACCGCAAGCTGTGCCCATTCCATGCTGTTGTGTTGTGGAACATCACACCCCGGCCCGAACCCCGAAGGCCTTCATCCGAGATGTCCTCTCCCTCGTGCCCAGACTGCTGCTGCGCTTTCGTATGCGTGCAAGCAAGAAAGAAGCCCCCCCCCCTTTGGCACATGTCGTTGCCTTCGTTACAAATCCCGTCCGAGAACTCCAACAAGACGACTGCCAGCCCGGGTAGACAGTAGAAAACATGAATAATAAACCAAAGACAAGAATACAACACGCGGATTTACCCGACGGAAAAGCAAAAAAGAACAAGAAACAGAAGAAGAAAAGAAAAAATGGTTACGATGCCGAAAAAAAAAAGACGGTATCAGCAGATGAAGGGCCGCGAGCTCCCGCCCCCCCTCTGAACAGCTCACGTGCACAGAAAGTCGAGGCCGAGTCTCCTGGCCACGCTTTGCCAGTCCCAAACGGATAGCCAGTCGCCGGCATCCATCAGGTGCCAGACTTCTTCGAGCACCTCGAGTGCCCGGTCGCAGTTGCGGAGACCAGTGTAGCCCCGGACCGACCGGATAATGGCGCGGAGCCGCTCCTGCTGCGCCGGGTCAAAGCACGTGGTGCCAATCACCACGCTTGGCATCAACAAGAGCGTCAGCGCGGGATCTGATGGCTTGAAGCCCTCCATGATGGCCAGAGACTCCTCGACCGTAGAGGTGATGCGGTTGTCGTGCTGCAGAGGACGGCGGATCGGGGGCGGAGACGCCGGCCGTTGTTCGTCAATGACGGCGCAGCTCGAGGACCCGGCGTCGGACTCGTGCATCGAGCTCGTCCTCGACGGGCCCCTAGAACTGGGCTCGCGCTTGAGCTGCATCGACGACGGGAAACCGCCCGCCGTAGTGGGGCGGAGGCCGGGAGACGAGGCGCAGCTCGTGGCGGTAGAAGGTCGAGAGATTTGCGAATGGCGGCGGGACGAAGACGACGAAATGGACGTCGCTACAGACGTCGCCACGGAGAAGACGGACGGGCGTCTCTGGGGGGACGTAGGTGGGTAAATGGTGCGGAATAGATGAAGGAACATCATGTGCTTGTAGACCAGGCCAACCCGGTGCCGGCTATCGCCCGGCGGCCAGGCCGGCATCCATTGTTCGATGGCCTCCTGGATCTCCTGTGCCTGGTATAGGATGTGATACGTCACCACCGTTTCGGAGCCTTTGTAGATGTTCTCCCTGATCGTATTCCGTATCGTTGTAATGTGGCAAAGATAGTGGAACAGGCCGTCGGCGACGCCAATGAGCCTCGGTGAATCGAGAGGAACCAGAGAAGTCCAGTCTGCCGAGGCCAGGCGAGGGTAATTACTTGTGGGGTGCCACAAGAGCTCATCTGCGTAGATGTGATACTGGAAGAACTCGGTGATGAAGGCCAAGAAGATGGGATCCTCGGGGGGCGACTCCTGGATAAGTCGCTTGTAGCCACCCAGGTGGACTCGGTGAGCGCCGTGCGGTTCGCCCTCGATCAGTGTGGTGACGACTAGGCAGAGGATCTGGGCGTAACGCGCGGAAAGGATCGTCGTCCCGTCGGCCCCGTCGTCCTCCTCGGCGCGGTTCATGTCGGCGTACAGCGTCTTCATTGCTTGCTCTTCGTGATACGCCGACCTTTCCTGCAGGGCCTCGCGGTTGGTCGTCGGGTTCTTCTCCAGGAGTTTTGCGCCGTACGGCGTGTCAAAGTCGATATGTTTACTGCTCATGGCGAGAATGGAGTGCATGACGCCCTGGTGGAGGTTTGCCAAAGGCAGGATAATGTCTTTGAAGGCGTTCCTGGCCTCCCCCTCGACTGTGAGGACATTGCTGAGATGGACTCCGTAATGCCGCCAAAAGATTTTGTCCTCGACCGTGTCGACGCCGTTGAACAGTGGTTGCATGGTGAAGACGAGGGACTCCTCGTCTACGGTGTGATCTTTGAGTTACTGGTCAGATAATACACGCACGGCACGCACCAAGTCGAGAGGAGGCAGAGAGGGTAACTCACCGGTTGTCGCCTTTTCTTTGCCGCTTCTCCATAGTTTCTTCTCCTGATAACCCTCGCACACGACGGCATTCTTCTCGCAGTTCATACCTATCACAAGAGCCGGGTTAGGTGCGCCCCTACTTCGTACCTCGAACATTGGACCTACATCTCGGCTTTGCCTCGTCGCACTTCTTCTTTCGTCTTCGGCAGGTGATACACCCTGTTTTAGAACGGCCTTTGGTGACCTTGCTCGGGTTAATGATGGGCGCCACGGGATGTTTGCGAGGTCGTCCACGGGGGCGTTTCTGTTTCGGCTGGGTTGTGGATGCGATCAGAGATGCTTGTGCTGGCGTCAAGGGTGCCTCCTTCAGACCGTCGAGATTGAAATCGTCGTCCATGGGCTCGAGTTTGGGTACGGTGAGGATGTCATCCGAGTCCTGTTCCCACACAATATCATTGTCAGCGTCGCCCCCGTCACAGGTCTCGGCGTGGCCGGTGCTCCAGGAGTCAGTGCAAGACGAGGAGGATGCGGAGTGTACCATTGTCGGAGCGCAGGATGGATCCATGTTTGCGATGTCCATGCCGGTACTGACGGGAGACAAGGGGCCAGCGTGAGATTGAGACTGAGGGTGAGAGAAGTTGGTGGACGTCATCCAAGCGGCTGCTGCTTGGGAAGCGGGCGAGTGCGGTAGGAGCATATCGTCTTGAATGTTATCGTCGTGCATATTGTCGTCGTGCATGTTGTCGTCTGATGAGTTGCTGCGATTATCCGACCACGAAAGATCCCCTTCGTCTGACATGGTTGATAAGACAGTGAGTTCCATGGCTCGTCAATAGCGAGACCATGCCACTAGGGAAGGGTCAAAATGGAGGTTGATGTGCCCGACCCTAAAGATACAAGTCGGGGAAGAACAAGTGGCGGCGCGCTGGGGGTTTCGACAGTTGTTGG